AAGTACGCTGCAGTAGAAACTAAGTGACTATTGGTAATAATAAAAAAGGCCTTAAAATTCTGATCCTATTATAGTGTTGGAACATACCCAAACTGCTACCATAATCTCTGAAATGTTACTGTTCTCTGATTTAGGTGTCTGTGTCAAGAATAAAAATGAAGTATAACTGGTAGCAGTAGACTATTTCCTAAATGTAATTTAGTATTCACTAAGCACCAGCACTTTGCAAATAGCTCTGAGGCTTTCCTTCAAAGTTCAGAGCTCTAGTTATGCATATCGTGTGAGGTACACCATGCAGCTCACCTCCAGCCTCTGTTGTGCTGAATAGATGGCTATGATAAATCATGCTGATTTGGCACTGAAGGGCATCAGCCATCAAGGATTTGACTACTATGTCTTTTTTTTTCCCTGAGATTATATCTCCTTGAACTGCCTGCCCTGGGCTACTAGTTTTGGAGAAAATTAAAAAGTGGAAAAAATGCTAGGGGAGGCCAGTACTGAGTCTATATAGGCTCAGCTCTCTGGAAACCCATTAACACCAGTCACAAGACTGGCAAAGAAAACATTGGTGGTTGTTTAAAAGCCAGGCCAAGTCATTTTACGCAAGATCTGGTAATTCATTAATCAATCTGGCTGCAAATCTTGAATGAATAACCTGAAACAGTGAAAGAGACTGGCAGCACCACATAACATGAGGGAGTTTATAATCTGAACCAATGCAAATTACCCTGGTGATGTTTAAGGCTCCTCTCTACCCTCATCATCTTCCTGATGCAATCCCTTCCAAACAAATAAGAAATCATTTATCTCCATGAATTTCCCTGCTGCCAGGGGCAAGATGGTATGCATTTCATTGTGCATCTCCTTCTCTCCCCACATGCTCACTGCTTGTAATACAGCATTTTTTTGGCAGCCTACAATAAAACATAGTAGCCTATTTAGGCTTTCCAAATACACGGCACATAGTGTGGTCTTGAAAAGTAACCTGGGCTACACCTATGCAAAACAATTAAAAATAAAGCCATCAAATAAGTTGAGCATCTCTCTAGAATACAGAATTATGTAAAAAAAATGAAATCCACGGAGGGCAAGCAATGTGGGTCTTCTGAAGTCTTTTTAAAGGCTAAAAAAAGTGATTTGCCAAGTATGAGCATACCACACTTAAAAATCTTTATGATTTTACACAGGTTCATTACACTTTAACAGGTTATTGCCTATCTGTGAGCTGCATTTTCTCTTAATATCAGTTGAGTTATTTGTAAGCAATGCCAACGAAGAGATATATCCACTGTGGATATCTTCTCTCTCCATAATGCTAGGCATGGTTCATAAATAATTTTAAATATGACTAACCTTACATGATAGGGTATGGTATATTTGAAGAAGCCTCAGGGAACAACAGTTTTCACAAACAAAAAGCCTTCTCACTCATGCCACATTAAATTGTATGGCTGTTCACATTTTCACATAGCATTGGCTTTGAGAATGAAAAACTAATAATTCTAATTTTCTAAATGTAGCCAAATCAATGTTTTACAAATACAATTTTTTTAAGTCTAGTTCTTCACAAAAGGAAATAATGAAAGTGAATGATGCAGGGAACCATCTAAATAGCTGGTCTTGGGTGACCTGTTAACTATTTACTTGCATGAACTTGTGTCAATAGACACTGCCCTGAGGGGCAAAAACTCCTTCATTTTATCTTTCCAGTAGTCAGAACAACGGGCAAAGAAAACCAGGTGAAAAACAGAAGTGAGCAAGCTGTGAATAAAAAGAAGTCAACTAATTCATAATATGCATTTATACACACATTGATAAGAAGAGCCTCTGCACTGAGGCAGATGGTACAGGCTTGATTCGGGACTAGTATCGGTTACACGGGCATGTGAGTAGAATAACGCAGTGATGAATTAGGTGCGTCTACAAGATACCGGTGTGTTTTAATACGAGGGTGAAGGCCAGTATCTCATCACACCTAAGCGGATGAGAGCAGGGATTTATACTCAACAGTTACATACTATCTAGACTAATTGGACCTTTATCTCACTTGGCTCCTGGTTGCTACCGTAACTATTAATAATTTCTAGTCCATAAGAGTCCCAGTGCCACTGGGAGTGTCTGAGCTTGTGGGTGCTTGGCTCAAGAGAGCTTCCAGGAACATGATTTGTAGAAAACCTGAAAATTCACTTTCTGAAACCCAAGCCTTTCCCCCCCAAAAAAAGAGCACCAGCTTGAGACATCAGGAACTTTGTAAAGGGCTTTTGAACACCAGCCCTCACCTAGACAATGCCACATGTACTGCATTAATACCTCAAAGGAGACTGAGCTTCATTCAAGGTTAGGTTTGACAATTAACACTGTATAGCTTGAGCAATTAACGCTGCTCTTGCACTTCCCAACATTTGTTTGCCGTTCTAGTTCTTTCCCTTCCACCCCAAACAGACTGTACCTCTATTTTTGTATGACAAGGCCTCATCTGAAAGCTTAAGTTAGATAAAACATACTCCCATGATGATGTGAGAGAAAAAAAAGAAAGTAAAAAGTTATTTTCTTGAAAAAGAAAAGCCAATGCAGATCAACAGGAAACTGCACAAAACTTCCATTCTCTCAGCTAAAACAAATAGTTCCTCCCAGAGCATGAGAGAGTGTCTCTGGAGGAAGAAGACATCTTCTTCTATTCTTGAGCACCCCCAGTCGTCACATTCAGAGTGGCAGAGGCGAGAAATAGTGCAAGGTATCCAGCTGCACGATAGAGAATGGGGACAGGGTTAATGTATGGGAGGAGAAAATAACTGTTTCATTCCCACCTTCCTAGGCCAAGCAACCAAGAAATGTAAATATAATACACTATGAAGCTGAAAATAGTCTAATTTTGCACTGCAGCACTGCAAAGCGCTATTAGAGCACAATTTGTCCCTTCAGGTAAGTATGGGCCAAATGCTGCTGTCAGAGACAATGATGCACCCTGTACTGAAGCCGGCGAGCACAAGGAAATCCAGGCGCTTGCAAAGAGGACAACAGAACTTGTCTGTTAGGAAAGAAGCAGCACATTTCATTTCCAAACTATTACTTCTGACCTGTTAGCTGCTGCCTAGATGTATTCCCCCAGTTGCATACCACCTATTTCTTCACACTGGGGCTGCTCATCCTCAGACACACCTGAACGGGCCCATGAGAGGTTACATGCAAAGACCTCGTGTTTGCAACATGGTTTGGTTTTCAGAATGGGAATTGTCTCGTATAGGAAGTGACAATTCCTATACAAGGCATGTAGAGGAATTGTCACTATCTACTCAAGACAATTACGTACTTGGCAGCTGTGGCCACCAATGCAACAGGCAGTTAAGGACAGGGCAAGCAGCAAGCCTGTGGTCAAATTCCACTGGTTTAACTGGAACGGTTAGTACGCTTAGAGTTGGTAGACTCTTAATCATATTACTTATCTGGAACTCACACTCTGAAAGTCTGCATCTTCAACGGATTCTTCCAAAAGGAAAATACCTCTGCATTTGGCTTTCAATGAATAAGGAAAATACCTCTCTGTTATAAGAAAAGCAAAACCACTCTCTCTCACGCCAGCTGCAAATGTGTCCCCTGCCTCCCTGCTACAGACCATCCAAACCTACACACCAACACACCGTACCCTGCCCGAGGCTGTACAACTGCAATTCAAGAACCAGACAGGGTTTGGAAATTGTGTAAAACAAGGCGCGGAACATTATAAAAACTAATTAAAAAAGAGGGTCTAAGCACAGGATTTCACAGGGATAATTTCATTTTGATTTGAATAAAATTAATTCCAAGTTACTTGGGTGCAAATGACAGAAATCGAAGAGAGAGGACCAGTTTCAGCTATCAGCTACACTGGTATAAATCCAAAGTAACTTCATCTGCATCAGGGAGATCATTGTGGGTTTAGAGCTGTATACAAATGAGAAGAATTTCATTCAGGACATCTTAGGTAAGCATTTTACTATACTGCTTCAGTTAATCTTTTCCAGCCTTTAAACTTCACTGCGATAATTCGGGGCTTCCCCAAGCCAGTGGGCCAGGCGTACTTCCTGGAGCTGCGGTACCTGCCATGTGAGAAGCAGCACCCGTAGCATGCTGTTGCACAAGGTCTTCCTGCCAGCTAATCAATTTATTGTCCAATTTCCCAGGCAGTGGACGATCTATGGCATCTCCTATCATCAAGGAAAGAAGTAGATCAGGGTTCAGGAGGGGCACGGCTGCCCCATAACCACGAGGCAAAGAATCATGAAGGCTTTACACAACAAAAGAAAGAAGGCTAGAGACAGAGATAAAGAGACTGTAACCTTCCTCTCGTACACCCTGATCCTCAAGGCAGAATTGTAAAGAAAACATTTAAATCTCTCCTACCACCCTTCAACTTTTACTTTAAGACTGACTCCACCAGGAGATCTATGAAACATCCCCAAAGACATGCTGGTTCCTGAGCTACTGACAACCCTCACATCCACCCTTTTTCTCCCCTATACATCAACTACGAGGACGTCTCAATTTGCGTGCAAGTGCCTTGCACAGTAGTGCTCCGAGTGATAAAAATCTTTACTAGAACTGTTCCAGCTCCTCATCAGCTAGCTGCTGTGCTGCACTCCGCTGCTTGCCGGGGAATGCAAGTGGAAGACAACAAACATGTTTCGACTTTTGTTTTCCTTTGTAGCTGACAACTGCGCAAACTCCTCGCCATGATGCCACAGGGCAGTGTGCCCTAGGCACTCTTTAGCCGTTTCCTTTCAAAAATCAAAAGTTCCATTTAATTCCTTTCAGGGCTTTTTTTGCCCCTCTCTCCAGATCGAAGGCCTGGTTTTGATCATGAGGATTAAGGGTGCCAGTCGGAACCTGTAACACACATCACCACATTTGTTGTCTCTTAAAAGGAAACAAATAGTAAAACTGTTGTCGACCAGGCTAAAAAAAAAAAGAGAAAAAAAGCAAGCAAGGACTTTGCAACGCGCACTTGCATTGCCTTGCCTTACCTCGAATATGTTGGTGGGTTCATTGCTGTACTGATTGGAGATGATCTCTGACTGGTCACTGTACCACTTGAGTCCCCCCAGAAAGCTGTCTGCATCCAGGTCGTTCACATCTAGTTCAGAGAGGTCAAGTTCTGGGAGATCTGGGCAAAGAGGCTGGTCTTCGCCAACCAGAGCAGCACACTGCAGGAAAACAGCAACACAGAAATAGTGTCATTAATTACCAGGAATCTATTAACTTTAATATTATGTGATAAGAATTAAGACTCGATTAAGCTATGGCACAGGGTCACTAGAATTGACTCTGCTTTCTGGAAAAAAAAGCCCACTACTAGATCATTGTTAGCTCTACACAGGCATGCAAAAGGGAGGGGGAAACAGGAGGACATAAGCTGCCTTCTCTATCACATCTCTGTCCAGGGGCAACGACTTTCCTTCTCCCCATACTCTTGATAACAATCGTGTTCAAAGCTTTATTAAATCCAACAGCAGAGGCCAAAGCATGGCCTTATTCTCCTGCTTCAGAGCAAACCAGTGCAGGTAGAAGTTACAGATGAATACCTCTGGGCAAGGTCTGTCACGCATTTCCTGATGCATTCAGGTTAAAGAGGCACAGCCTGTTACAGCCTTCAGCCCTGGAGGCAAGCTCAAGCTGGAGATAGTCACAATTCTACTTCTACAGATCCTCACCGTAGTCCTTGAGGTCAGTCATGATGGTGGCTACCATATGGGCACAAAAAAGTATGGGTCAGTGATGCTGCTGTGCTTGTTCCCTGATGCACTTGATGATGCACAGACCACAGCCACCCAGTTACATGTGAGGGTCCTGGCAACCAGAGTGCGTTATGAAACAACCCTACATTCACCTTTGGGTGACAGGCATAGTTAGTTCACACAGCCTTTCACCTGCTTGGTGTGAACACGTATATTGTCCCAGTCAGCTTCCTAAGTGTCCCTAGACAGCGGCTGCAGTGAGGGAACCAAATGGGTTTTCCTCCTCTGGCAGCCTCTGATTCAGTAATCCTAACGCAGAGGGTCTGTGAAACATTTTGGTTGAGGTAGTAAAAGTCTAGTCTGCATGGATCCTCTTCAGCAGTGCAAAATGTTCTTGTCTCCATGACTTATGAAGAAGAGTGATAAATACAAATAAACCTGGAATAAATGTCCTTTTATATGCTAGTATGAAGCTAGCTAGGGTATTGACTGACCTACTAAGCAAGAAAAAATTAATAACACACATCCACTTCAGCGCGGCAATTGAAACGTTAAGAGTATCCACCAAAACCGTTTCCTAATTATGGAAAACACGTAGCAACAGCTTGGCAAATAGCGGAGTCCCATACATCAATGCTGCTTGATGAAGCAATTCTTCCTGCTCTTTACCACATACCCTTGTAACTCATCTCCAAACATCTACGTTGATATGGGTATACTGCAAAACACACGTAAAGCTGCAAAGGCACCAGGCGCTGAACAGTTAAAAGCCATTTAAAGTCAGCTGAGTCTAAGGGCTTCCACCCTGAGTATTTCTAGTGGTGTATTATGGATGGCCAACTGCAGGTCCTCCTCCACTCCCGTCAGTTGACTGGGTGGTTTGAATGATTTCCCAACTTCTATTTGGACTGAAATCAACCCAGAAAGTGCCACTTTCTGAAGAGGGATGTCTGTAGGGCACTAACATAGTGTCCACAGATGTGAATTGCTCAATACCGGTTATGTCACTCTCGCAAGGACCGCCTTTCACAATAACGCAAGTGAGAGCTGCTGAAGGTGCATTTCATTGAGGTTTTTGTCCCTGGGAATCTCGGTGCGTCTGCAGTGCGCGGGCTGGATGCAGCAGCGCAGCCACAAGCAAAGATTTTGTCTGTTGGCACAAAGACTCGGTGCAGCTGGTGCGAGCTATAATTTACCAGTCAACTTCTACATCTACCAGGATGTTACGAGATAATCATGGAATAGGCCAAGGGGCAAGGGAGCTGAGAGGCTGCAAAATGAGGTTCTGAAATAGCAGTTGCTTTTCTTCCTATTATTTAAGAGGCTGCAGAACTCTAAGAAGTCAAAACCCCACTTAAGTAATTTTCACGGCACACAATTTTTTATCATTATTTTGGTCATAAGAGGGAAAAAAAAAAAAAAGAAAAAAATTAGAGAGTTCCCTCTTCTTTAGTGCGAGAGACAACCTTCGGGCAGCAATCTTATAATGCAGAGATGACCTTTTTTGATGCTTGGACAAAATCTCTGATCTCATTAAAGGATAATCTAGTTTTTGACTGAAAAGGTAGATTCTCAGCGTCATTCTCAGGTTTGTGTTGTGGAGGTCAGTAGCTTATAACTGATGCCATAGACTTCTAAAGTATCCTGCTGATCTGTTACTGCTTTCGTTTGTAAAAATAGCTTCACTCTGTGAACCACCTACTTAAACATGTTTACTCTTGGTAATCTGCATTTTTAAGTTCCAACAGTGGGCTTTGGAAGCAACATAAACAATGGTATATAAAAAAAAAATAATCCTGCTCATGGCAGCTTTCATTTGCCTATAGTGACTGCAATGTCACCTAAAAAAATGTAATTGCTGAAATGAAGTATATATGCTCTTGCCAATGTCATGATAATAAAATCAATGTTTCTGAATATGACATTATGCTTCTAATCTGAGACACATTAGTAGCAAGTGTTCCTGTTATTAATTTATATTTGGCCTTTGGATGATGCCAGATTTAACACTCCAAGTCCTAAAACTGTCCTCATCTGACACGCTGATATTTACTGTTTGCCTATACATCTGTAACAGGTGCACCTGCATTGCTAGCATACATTTTACTGTCTTCCCACCGTTATTTGATATGATAGTTATTCCGTAACTATGGCCTTAATTTTATAGTAACATTTAGGAGGATAAAGCAGTCACTAAACACAAAAGGCTAATTACTGTGCGTTGTTTCACGCCAACAGACTTTTTTCTCTTAGTTCACGTGCAAACAATAAATGAGCTTAACTGCACTGACAATAATGAATCATTATAATTAAGTATAATTCTCCATTAACCTTTTGGAGGTTTTTGTGCCTTTGAAGGTAAATATAAAAAAAAAAAAAGGAAAGAAAGAAGACTGGACTTGTGCCATATTAATTATATTAATGAAAATATAATCTGTGTTTTATTTTTAACAAGTTTTTCAAACAGCTAAGGGGATGAACTCAGGAAAGAAAGAGAGACTTGACAGAATGTGTGTCATGTGGATTCTCTCTATCAATCTTCGCAATCTTACTGTACATCACCTTCATTAAGCTGTGAAGCACTGGGGACGCTGATCAGCTACAGTGATGCAGGCCTTTATTAAGCAACACGCCGTCCTGTCATTATGTGAGCGAGAATATAATACATTTTAAGTTGACAGCAAACATTAATGATTCGAAAAATGAAAGCTGCCTCCAGTACCTGCCGCCTGTGATATTTTAGATCGGTAAAGGTGATCCCCCGAGCCAAAGCAGCAGGCAGACGCCAGTATTGCTACAGGAAGTGCAATGCAGGAGCACACTGGTAAAATCCTACCCACAGTTAATCCACCCACCACACAATTAATATTAAGATCAAACCCTTTTCTTTTTTTTTTTTTTCTTTTTTTTCCCTCTGCACTATGAAAAAGTCATTGACATAAATTATCTATTCTGTTACTAGCTTGAAATTACTGCAAAGAACTCTAGTGATTAAAATAAATCTTCAGTATTTCCATATAAGCTGGTTCCTCAATCAGCTCCTAGCAGCATTAAGAATAATACATGATGGAAAAATGAAGCTACGGCAGCTGAGACCCATGCTACAAGCCAGACAACAACCCACAGGATACTCCAGCTACTCAGAAACAATTAGGACTTTGGAGCCAGAAAGTCATCCACTTACAGCCTTGACTCATAATAGCTACAGGACATATGAATTATCCATATCTATTCCACTTTACCAAGAAATCAAAACAAGATAAGAGCAATTACAATATGCAAACAGAAATCAGCGGATACAATGGTAAGCTGCAAATATTTAAAACACGACAAAAAGACTAGAGAATCCGCACACATGCTCCACCAGACAGGAAAAATATACAGAACACGGTAACGTTTTTACTTTAAATGGGTAGCTCTCTACGGCATGAACATCTTATTTAAAAAGCATTGCCTGTAACCTGTTTTTCCCTCCCCCGTTGCCCAAGGGGAGCATTTTAAGCACTTATTCCAAGCTCGCAGCCAGAGGGTTAGTTCCTTTGAGCAGGTCTGTATTTGGGATTCCTCTCCATGGGGTCCAAAGAAAGTTTGCCTCGCTTCGCAAGTTGCCCGAACTTTCAGGTAACGCTCCATTTTGCCGAATGCAAACATGCAGAAATCCTCAAACCTCACTTTATACTCCGGAGATTACCAGGGAGCTGCTTGCCTTTTTTTTTTTTTTTTCCTTTATGAATTGTAGCCAGCAGAAGCTGTGGATTTGATGTATTGCCGTCTATTTTTACACAAGCAGCAGCAGCGGCAGCAGCAGCAGCAGTTCACACAGTCCTGCATAAACTCTATTCTCATGGTTCATCCCGTTGTCTCTGCTGTACAGTGGGATTTAACCGTTTGCTGGACTACTCGGATTGACTGCGAACCCTGCTCTATGGGACATTAGCTACAGCGTCATTATTCCAATACCACAAGAAGCCGGGGAAACATCTCCTTCCAGAAATCTCTTTTAAAAGCATCTAAAGCCAAACAACAGGATATTCATTCTTGTGTGCGTGTTTGAATTCTGCAGCTGATAAATAAGGAAAAAAAACCTTCGACGGAGCCCAGTGAAACAAGCAATTAAAATACGAAGCCCTTGGTTAATTTTAACTTCTTTTGGGTTTTTTTTTTTTTTTTTTGATAAAGAAATGTTAATCTTATTCTAAATAAACATGGCGTTTTTCCAACCAGGCCACTAAACGCCACTGGAAAGACTTCAGACACCGATTCATATCAATATCTTGGAGCATAAATATTGCATATGACAGGAAAGCGAGCCAGAGGCACATGAAAATAGTTTCCAACTGCAGGAGATACTGATGACAGGAGCTCAGCTTTGATTTGCTCAAGGCATCGCAGAGTAACCTTAAAATAGCAAACTTACTGGAGTTCAGATAAGATTCGGACTTGTTTGCAAAGTATGCCGCCTCGGCCGTCCTGCCGGTTCCCTGACCGGCCCGCCGTCCCCGCCGACCGCCTGCACCCCACGCGCCGCCCACGCCGCGCGCGCCCCCCTCACCTCCAGATCACTCCATACAGAGTCCTGGTTGCACATGTCCCACGCCATCCAGCTGCGGAGCGACGGCAGGAAAGCTGGCAAACTACGGTCCAGAGGCAGGCAGGCAGCAGACACTCATGCAGGCAACGAGACCCTCTCTGAGAGTGAACCGAAGGCACCTGTCTTACTACTGTTCCCCGTCACATGACAAAGCTATTAAAAAGTAGGCTGGGCTGTCACTCATCCAGCCTTCTGGTGCCGCTGCTCCAGCCCGTGACGTCACCCAGGGGCAGACCCAGCCTGAAGTGAAGTAAATCTTCGCAAAACCCGCTCAGACCTCGGCGGCCGCGGCACCACGCTGAGATTCAAAGCTGATTTCCACGCCACACCCCCGACACACTGCTCCCGCCGGAGAGTACCTCGCCTCTCTCCCCATCTTTTGTAATTTCTTGGCTGGCTTGCTTTCCTCCCCTCTCCCCTCACAAGCAAACAACAGGCAGAGCTGTGTTTATTATAAAGAAAAAGTGAAGTAACTCCAAGCCGAGCTACAGCCTCGCGTGCTCTGAATAGCCCGAGCCTAACCTTTGCGGCGCCCGCACCAGCTCCCCGGCGCTGTTTCCTTTGGAGAAGCTATCCTAGAGTTCAGCAAAAGTTCCAACACCTTCCAACATTCCTTTTTTTTTTTTTTTTCCCGCTCAGGGTTTCTGCACCTCACCAAGCATTTTGGTTAGGTTAGCGGTTTCTCATCAATAATTGCAACTCAGGTTAGTTTTTCCACACTAAATGCATCAGCAAAATCCCGCCCCCCTCCCCCCCCCAGCATTTCCCAGGAATGGAGTAAGCATCTATAAAAAAACATTTATACAGTTATCTCACCTGCTACAAGGAGGGAGCCTGATCCTCCTGTTCCCAGCTAGACTACAGCATTTCTCGGCTGCTCTTTAATCACTCCTCTGCCTCAGCGTACTCCTGCTAGAAACCAAGGTTGTCACAAGCAACTGCCACACTCCTGCCCAAAACCGCTCAGACCCCCCATCTGCTTCTTCCTATCAGCACCGCTGCCTCAGGGTGCACTTCTGGACAAACACGGTGCACCAACCCCTCTGACCCGGACCCGGCATTTTCTCATTGAAAATGAACAAACAAAAAAATCCCTCTTGTCATGTGAAAACACAGCCACGCTGTTCACAGAAGTGTCTCCTCGTGGAAGCCTTTCCCAGACAACGGGCACTGCTGCAGATGCAACTGGTTTATGACACCCCTCTGCACTGCGTACACAACAAACTCCAGGTACCAAACGGAACCACCAAACACCGCCCACAACAAGGGGAAAAAAAACCCCAACAAATAAAGGTCTTGCTTAACTATCCCCACCTGCCTGCTTATTGTCTTAAGTCACAGGTTTTTTAATTAGCTGGGTGCAAAAAGTCTGGTGAAATGTAAGCGCTGGCTCCTTCACGCTGGGCTACCAGTCAAAGTCACAAAACTATAATTGATCATCCTCCTTGTCATGAAATATTCATTTTCATTGTTATTTGCAAACTTGAGTATTCTAAAGGCTAAATGAATTCAATTATTATACAAGGCTATGGCAATTTTGCTGAGAGAAAAAAATAAATAAAAAGAAGTACAATCCTTGAAATAGCCCTTTTCCCGCAGACATTGGAAACTTCAGAAATGGTAGGAGGTCTCAGATATATTCTTAGCTTATTTGTGTTCCCTTGTAATTCATTATTGCCAGTCCTGATAAAATGTATTTTCCCAGCTTGTGCTTAAGTTGCAAATCACATCACACTGTCATATTTTCACCAAGCACAGATGACAAAAATGGCATTGTTTTTACTTTACTTAATTAAAAAAAACCACAGCAAAATACCGAATGACTACAGAAAGCCTTTCCTACGAATGATTAAATTAACGGTATTGCTTTGCTCTCACGATGAAAAAAAACCTCATTTCCTTCCCAATTATATGCTGATTTAATGATAAAACTGCAGTAAATTATTAAGATCTGGGGCAAAGGTGAGTACCTCTACCCCCGAACAGTCAACTGTGAAATAATGCTGGGCACCTGCTTGCCTGGAATGGAGGCGGTTCTTATTAATTATTATCTGTGGATCCATGGTTGGTGGAATATTCTCCTTCAATACCTACTTATAATTGTGTTCATTGACTGTGCCGAATCCATCATCTGTTTTTTTTGAAGTTTCATTCACACCTTTTATAGAAATGTATTTACACTGGAACATTTCATATTGCTGTTTTGGATATTTTGACCTGCTCATGTTGTTTCTATTTTCTACATTTTCACTTCACTGCTTTCCCTTCAAATTAGCGAGTTAACTGATAAATATAAACTGTGACCTTAGTGGTGCACTCACCATACAAGCTTTAGAGATTGGAGAACTTTCTCAGTGCACTGCAGACAGTGCAAGCAATAGGTAATAATAACAGAGGCCCCCAGAGCTTTTCTATGGCCCTGTCCACATTACGGCTTGAACTTTGCTGGCAGTTCCAGCATTACCTGGAAGGGATGCCAAGCACAGTTCCAGCTACGAAAGACCGCAAGGTTTCAACAGGGGTTCCCCATTGCTTGGGAAGAATTTTATTTTTAAAAATCGGAAGTGTCTAACCCCAGCCATAGTATAAATTTACTCACTAGGATCCTTTGGGTTTTTTTCCCCACATGTTTTAATGTGGGGTTTTTTTGAGCGTAGTGCCTGTAAGAGGAGAAAAGCGAGGCAGTTGCAGTGGTAGTTTGGAAACGGCGCAGCCTCAGCATATGTAAATGATGGCTGTGAAACCCAGCCAGCACCTAAGCTGCTCTCCTCAAAGGAAACCTTGTCTTCTGAACATTCCCTAGTAGCTTTAGCAATGCTCTCCTCTCGTGTTTTGACAACACGAAAGAATTGCACAAACATCTTTCCCGGGGCAATAGCTGAGCACAGCACACGTTATTTGGTACCATAACAAACACACACAAAGAAAACCCTCTTTCAGCTGGTAAAGTCTGCAGGTCCATTTGACCCAATCTGCCCTGTTGAAGTGTCCGTCATCAGACCCCATCCTCAATCACTGCGCTTCCCTTGTTTTCACATTGCTCTGTACCTAGTCTCAGCGATTCCCAAATTTTGCCTTTTCTTCTTCAAGGGCCAAAATTCAAGAAAGTTCTGGCAAGTCTTCCAAAAGCATTTGGGCACAAATTCCCAAATCCTGATACATTTTTTAAGAGGACTGGAAGGTACAGCTGCCTGCAACATCAGGGAACAAAATTCAAAGGCTGAAGCCTTCAAGCCCTCTGTCCTTGACTTTTTTCCTGAATTCAGCACTCATTTTATCTCTTCCTCCTCTTCTTTCACACACATTTTCTAACTGTGGTCATGTTTTTATTCCCTGTAATTTTGATTTCCCAAAGAAGCTAATCAGGAGCCCCCGTGATTTTGAAATCCAAAACTTAGTCCCTTCATCATGGCACTGAGGAGGAAAGAATTTCTTTCCTTGCCCCCAAGACTATAGTACTTGGTGATTTTCAGCAAAGTTTACTACTTTTCCAGTGGAGTAAGGACAACCAAACTTGTATGTAACAGTGCTGGAGCTTCAGCAAGCTGAAGTCTACAAACCAGTTCTCACAATAGTTCAACCCCTTCCGCTCGACCCTCCAAGAGTGAATAGTCTTACAGCAGAAGATCAGCTAATGCTGTATATAAAAGAGCAAACTGCACTCCAAAGGTGTGTTAGCGTGAATAGTGTTCTATATAAAGTATATGTACCCTATTAATTTTTTATTAGAAATATTCCTTCTGTGCATCTTTACTCTTATTTTTTTGCACAGTCCTTTATTTGTTTTCCAGTCCATTCTCTCTGTTCCACTTCTATCCTATTTGTTTGCTGATTTTTTTCCCTTCTCAGCTTCTTTTCCTTATTTATCCAGTTCATCCTACCCAGAATACACCCTCAATAGCATAAGCCAGCGAGTCAAACTCCTTGAACTTCTGGCATCATCGGTGCAGTAATTCTACAATGGAATAAAGCAGCATGCCCCCTCCAATTTTGCTAGGGCAGTTATGAACTGGGATTTTGGTTTGTTTTTTTTTTTAACAGAGGAAAATCACGATGGTGCTCTATACCAGCTCTCTGAAAAACTCAAGAGATCTGGGACAAATTAATTCCTGGCCCAGCTCTGGGCCACAGGCTGCTGTCTGAGGAGCTGTATATTAGGGAGTCCAAAATAGCTTTCTCCGAACTGAACAGCAACGTGTTACTGACATTACTGACACCAGGCTGAATTTTGCCACATCTGCCTCCACAGACTGAGGGCTCAAATAGACACCTCTGAAAGCCATGAGAATTCACCTGCTTGTTCACATGCAAATGGACCTGACTGTGAATATTCACTACTGGTGCAGATTATCTGATTATCAGCCCTAACCAGGCTTGCAGACATGCAACTCTTCGTAACCCGGTGCTTGTAGCAAAACCTTCCAGGAGTGCCTAAGTGAAGCTGGAGCACAGGTACCCACTGCAAGAAATCTTCCTAATTTTTCTCATACTTCCCCGAACATCTCCCTCTTCACAAGCATATTTCACTTACTCATTATGAAAACAAGAAAAGCAAAGCCATTCCAACTGATTACATATAAAATACATTTGTCACTTGTTTCTCCCCAACATTGGGAGCATATGTTCTCCAGGACCCATGTTTGCTATGATTTGCAGGAAAATCCAGCTTGTCAGGCCTGTTAAAAGCAGCATGAACAATGTCTTTCACTCGGGTGTTACTGTTTCACAGAGAGACTAATGTGTAAAAAAGGAGCATCTACATTTAAATTTATTGCCTCTATATGTTTGAGAAACAGAGGCATGTACACACATCAGTTTCCTGGGGAGGCTTTGGTGCTGTTTGAGCACAGACACCCAGGCAAACCAAGGAGGCAGATTCCTCTTTTGCAACTACTTGCACATTGGCAGAGCAGGCAGGACCACATCAAAATCACAGACCATTGCAGATCATCATCATCTCTCCTTTACTCACCTCACTGCTGATATTTCCTTGGAACAAAAGAAATCGTAAAAGTTCTTTTTTTTTTTTTTTTTTTTTTTTTTCCCCTCCCCTTATCCTTCCACTCCTTCAAGCCCCCGGGAAAAGATCAAAACCTGCTC